CCGTGCGCTGAACATAATGGTGAGATGGCATGTATGGCCTACCGATGCAACACTCTCTAACTTTGCCAAAGGACCTTTGGGAAAAAGCCCCCTTTATCCCTGTCCGACAATTCCCCCAAGCCTCTTTGAAATATTCAGGTCGCGGGAAGAAGCGACACCTACTTCGGGTTTCAAAGGTTGAGGATGTGTGAGGTTTTGCCGCCTTAAATCTGGCAGCAACATTCTCGACTGCTTTGGGCTCGGCAGCTCTAAAGACTCTAGAGCCGGAGCCAGCGGTGCTAGTGCGGCCAAGTCTCATGTATCTCGAGACAAACCTGCCACGATTCAGTGTATGAGTGGACGCAGGCTCGGCGCAGGACACGTGGGTCGCGCCAGGAATAACAACTCTTGTGTAAGTGTAGGGGTGGTTGAAGAGAGATCTCCTCCTGTTCTTCAGGGAAGATAGGGGCCTAAATAATAAATTACCAATACTATTTTGGGGGTTCCTCGTTTATCATTATAATACAACGGGCCCCAACACCCTATTCTAAAAAAATAAGGCCCCTATATGACATTACCCATGTTTGCGGGGTAAGGTTTGGCGTGGTCGGCTCGGGGTCTCATTCAAGGCTGGGGCTGGAACGAGGCTTTGGGTTTGAGACCTAAGCAACGTAGCACCTAAACGCCAAACCGGTTTAGGGCTTAGGGTTTAGGGAGCAATCAATCAAAAGAACAGGGCCAGGGTAGGGCTTGCCGCGAGGCCTTAATCCCCAGATCCAGGTCAATGGGCCAAACCCCACATCCACCCAATGCCCCGAGATGCTATCCCGAAACCGATAACACCACGAGCCTTCAGCCTGTCTTGGAGGACCCAGGGACCTAGACATTCAGAAACAGCTTCCGAACAAATCTTGAAGCATTTCAATTCAGATTTAACGGACATACTGCGATTATTTAGTCCCGTCTGCCGAAGCATGCTTGAATTCTTAAACTCTAATTTCACAAATTCTGCTTGAAGTTCACGTGGGCTCGGCCCAAACCTTACACTTTAAACCCTAAACCTTAAACACCCTAAATCCTGAATCGACCATCCCATGTGCTAAAAAGCCCTGAACATGTCGGCCTTCCCGCGGAGGATCTACCACTACTGCGGACGACCGGGCTGGCGCCTCCTGGAATGCCGGCTGTCAGGGTTTCCTAAAGGTTTTAGGGCCCGGTTTAGGGTTTAGGGCCTCCGGGAATACGAGGGTCCGGGAAGGACTCCTACATACGGTGTCTTTCAGGGTTTAGTTCTGAAGTCTAAGGTTTAGGGCTTCAAAGATCTCGGACTCAAGGATTAAGCTTAGGTAATTAGGCTCTTAGTTTAAGGCATATGGGGCCTCAGGGCTTTGGGTTTGCAGGTGAATGGTTTCGGGATGTTTGGGGATAGGGGCCTTGATTGCTATCTTGACCTTGGGCCCTTGGGGCTTACAACTGATGTTCAGGGTTCAAAGAGCAGGCCGAAACTCCTTCGCCACGCGCGCCAAGCCCTTCCGCGCATCGCCACGGATGAAAGTTGCGTTGCTGATCCGGTTCAGCTTGGCATTCCTCGAGAGATGCAGGAGGACGAGAAGTAGCAGCAGCAGCAGCAGCAGTGACTCAGTAGTAGTGGTCCCCGTCGTGGTGGTAGCAGTAGCAGCAGCAGGCGCAGGCGCAGTCGCTGCAGCAGCAGCAGCAGGAGCAAGCAGCAGCAGCAGGAGGAGGAGGAGTAGTAGTAGTAACTTAGTAGCAGGGACAGGAAGGGGCAGGAGGGGGAGTGGTAGTGGTAGTGGTAGTGGTAGTGGTAGTGGTAGTGGTATAGCCGTAGCCGTGTCGGTGGCGGTGGCGGTGAAGGCAGTCGTTGTAGTAGTAATCATAGTAGTAGTAGTAGTAGTAGTAGTAGTAGTAGTAGTAATAGTAATAATAGTAGTAATAATAGTAATAGTAATAGTAATAATAGTAGTAATAGTAATAGTAGTAATAATAGTAGTAATAG